ACACACACACACACACAGATACCAGCCACAACCAGCATCACTTTGTCAAGTGTAACCAAGTGTATTGTTGCTTTTTCCTTGACTTCCTCAGGCCAGAGGGGTTCATGGAGGAGCCGTTGGAGCAGGACAAGACAAACAAACAGCAGGAAAAGGAAGAGGAGACGGAGGAGAAAGACGAGGGAGTTAGCGACTCTGATGATGATGATGATGAGAGTGACCTCTTTGTAAACACCAACCGCTGTAACTACCAGTACAGCGAGAGTGAGGAGGAGGACAGCGAGGAAGAACACGATCACAAAGAGGGAAGGACAGAAAATGGCTCCTAGTGGCAGCACTGTGGACACGGACAGTTAAGAGTAAGAGCTGTGGAAATCATGAGACGGCGTCCTCTGCTGCGCTGCCGTCATCACGGACTCCCTCTGTAGTTCTTGTATGACAGCCTGCTGTAGACGTTAAATGGCTGGGCTCATTGAATGGACTTCAACTTAAGGGAGCAAAATAAGTCTTTGCTTGTTGATCCAGAAAATTCAGTAATGTAGAAATTGAGCTGAAATTGAATAATAGTTTTCATTATTTTCAATGTCAGTTTGAAATTCTGTAAATTTCTACTTTTAGTTTCAGTGTTTTACTGAAATGACAAACTAAAGCATGTTTGTATGCTCTACCTCCAGTGCAGCCGTTATTATAATGCCACTACATAACGGGGTATGCTGTCTACCCAGGCCACACTGTACATCTGCAGGGTAATGCTAATCTAAACTGTTATATTCATTCACGCTCATAGGACTAAATAAATCTATTAGAAAGAATCACAAAAACTCAAACAATGTATTGTTGTCACCATTGCCAAAATAAAGTTCTCATGTTTAATTTCAGTTACTTGTTAAGGATGGCTGTCAAGATAGATTAGAGGGTGTGGTAACAATTTAAGCACCGATCCTGTATAAACACTGTTTGGGTGTAAACACTGTTCCAGTTTCACCGGTCCTCTGAAGTATATTGTAACTAGCTGGCCTGCCTCTAGATACTCAAATGAATGCTGCCGACAGCCTCTGAGATTTACTTTGTCTCAGGCACCAAAAGATTTTATCAAAATGCTTTAGTTTCAATTGACCTTGAAACCTTTTGTACTTAATTGTCATGATATCTTTGTGCCTCATCTTTTACTCTTTGACATTCCTCACCCAGTTGATTATTTTGGTTTGTGTAATGAACACTTTGGAAATCAATAAATTCTTAAACTGTGCTTTACGTCACTTCAACAGGATCATTTGACATTCAAAGAACCATCTCCTTTGGAAAATAAAACACACCCCTTCCGCTATTACCACAAACAAATTCCCGAATGATAAGGTCACAGTATTAACAGAAAGCCACTGAGCAGTTAGTTTCTGGTGCCGGTGGAACCAGTTCCGCTGCTCGTCAGACCACGTGCTTCAAATGTAATTCCTGTTTGCTGTCAATGGCTGTTTGCTGTCAGCCCCCTTAGAGGCTGACTGTTTGAGTGGGTTTGCATGTTCAGGAAGCTATGAAATAACTTTCCAATGTGAAATATTTTAGCTGGAAAACAAGTTTATTAAACATTGATGCTTTTTCGGGAAAGATGTTGCAGAATCATTCTTGGCTGACAATTAGATGAGCTTTGGGTGCTGGTTTCAGGAGACGAAGTCAGGGGTATTTAACCCAAAACAAACAAATATTTCTGCATTAATATATTTATAATAATCTATGAAAAAAGGCCTAAGGAAATAGGTTACTAATAGTTGTCAAACAAAAGTATGAAACCCTATATTAACTATCACATCCTTACAAAAACAAGCATTGTCTTATGAGACTAACAATTGTTGGCCGCACAGATTCATTTATTCAACTCTTGATTCTGGCAGCATTAGCACAGTTTAAAGAGATTTATCCCACTATATTCAGTGGAAGATTAGTTATTTAAAACATCCTTCCTTTAAATATAGCTAATAATTGCAGATGTTTATTTTAATATTTAAATAGTAATAGACTAGTAAATAATCTGTAAAACCATAAAAATGTAATTAAACAAGGAAATCTAAACATAAAATGGGTGAACAGTAAAAAGAAAAAATAAGTCCTGGATTATTCATTCATTGGATGAAATGTGTTTTTTCTGCACATACCAGCACATAACTACATTACATTAGTAGAAAAAGTGTATGTACTGGTTGCACAAGCAAAGCAGAATGTAAAAAAGTTTTGTGTAAGTTTATTTTTTGGACATTGATTCAGTTTCTGAGAGTATCAGGTCATCGAGGAAGATTTCACAGAAATAAAACCGGATTTATTTAAAGTTTATTTAGACATGAAAGAAATACTTTACAGGAATGTATTTTATACATTCATCACATTAGTTTTTTATGGCAACAATAACTGGCTTTTCACTATAAAGCATAACAGGAAGCTGATTGGCTGAGACCAGCAGCTCATCTAATTCAGGTCATGTAAACAGTTTCAAACATGCAATAATAATTACATTTGATCAAACACATTTTAAGTACATAAATAGAGGCAATTTAGGGTTTATAACACGTTTGAGGAAAGAAAGAACACATTGTTGAATTCATAAACAATGAAACACACCATTGCTACATTCAACACACTGAACAGTTGCTGTTTGGTCTGATATGACCACAACTTTATGGTGGCGAGCTAAAGTTAGCACACTTAAGCTCAGCATTGTAGTACACACTTTACTGGGTCGGTTCGGAAACGTTATGGCTCTTCTTGAATTGTCAAAATAGCTTAGCATTTTTTGCAACTTGATAGCTAATTTATATCAATTGTTAGTATATTTAACATTTTGCTAACATCAGCTAAAGCGTGACTATATATATGTACATATTTTCATAAAATGTGATGAATGACAACCAGTGGCTGTCTGAAAGGAAGGAGAAACACATTTAAAAGTAAAAAAATAATATGAAAATAGTAAGTGGATATGTGAAGTATGTTTAATCTGTAATAAATTGACTAAAATATTCAAAACACTGGTTTAAAAACACATTATTAAATATTATTCAGGGTGTTGGCATGTTGATGAGCCTGAAGGTTTTCACATTGTGTAATGTAATTAAATACAACTCCAGAACATGGATGCCTGAAGTAAATATACGGACACTAGTTTTTCATAACTTCAACAGAAACTCACAAACATGTTTGCTGACTGTAGTAGCACAATTCTTGAGTAGACAAACTTGATCAAAAATCTGCTGGGATAGTCTTAAAGTTTTGGTTTGTTTCACTTCTTGACTGCATTTCTCAGGGGCACGTCCCAACACTGCCTCTGTGTCCGTTTCAGGTCGGCCCACAGTCTAACTATCTGCTTGGGCGTTCGTTTGTGGACCAGCAGGATCTTGTGGTATGAACACAGCTCCTTCTTTTCCTTCTCAGGTAAGTCAAATGTGAGGAAGGCCGGGTGGTGGATGGGGTGAGTGTTAAGCCGAATCATACACATCCCTACATAAACGTCGTCGATGGGGAACAGGTGAACACTTTTAGAGATTTCGTGTAGACGTTTGGTCAGCAGGCCCGAGTACAGTACCCCTCCTCCGCCTGCATACGTAGGATAGTGGCCTCTGTAGAAGGTGTCTGGGATGAAGTACTTGGAGTTGTTGACTCGGTGGGGTATGGCTGAATCTATTACATCTCCAGCCATGAAGTCCGCTATGGTGTCGTTTGCTCGCGACTTGTTTAGCTGATCCTGTAGGTAGGTTATAATGTTGGGGGTGTTGACGAAGACATCGTCGTCCCCCTTGAAGACGAAGACAGTCTGGTTGCAGGAGCCTGAAAACCAGCTCCAGAAGAGCACATCCTTCAAGGTGAGGTTGAAAAATGTGTCTATGAAGTCCCACTGCAGAATGTCTCCATAATGCTCACTTTCCATCCGCAGTAGCTCAGATAAACTCACATCCACTTCCTCAGGGTCTTCTCTGCCCAGCAGGAACACCCTGCGGACATATCCTCCACTGCTGTTCTTGTTTCCTGCTACCCACCCCTCCTTGCCCCAGGTCTGACGAATGGCCATCCGGTTCTTATAATTGTACTCTGTCGTCTTAATGGCCAGAAGAAGCAGAGGGGGCTCCTTCTCATCCTTTGCCCCGGCTCCACATACTCCATCTGGTTGGATGATGGCTGGGTAGTCCCTCTTTTGCATGTTGCTCACAAACTTTTGCATCTGCCATGATAGCTTATCAAAGTTTTTCCGCATGCTGTCCGAGTCCGTAAGTTCAATAAAACTTTTTATCAGTAGGGACTCATTAAAGTTACTATTTTCCATGCTCTTCCTGAAGTCATTGGGGCGCAGGATGGGGTTGAAATAGCGGTCGAGGGCCAGCTGGAGTTGGTTCCAAAAGGCACCTTCATTCGGGCCGAGCCAGAAAGTTTTAGCGTTTGGGATGAAGCTCTTTTTTCTCAAATTGTTTGAGGAGTGAGAAGGAGTTTCCTGGACAATGGTCCCTGGTGCTGCTTCACCATTCATGGTCATGCACACCATTGTAGTGAGGAAGACCAACAGCAGGAGCAGGCAGATGCATGGGGTGCACACACCGATGAACAGGCTACGCCAACGACAGTGAAACCGCGCCATTCAACTGCAAATGGAAAACAGTAAATGTTTTTGAATAGCAAAATACATTAAGCATACCATGAAAGCCCAGAGTTAGATGGAGAGAAATCCTGAGTAAAACAAAGTGTAGAGGAGTCATGAAGGAGAAAGACCATGAGGAGGGGTCGCATGGGTTGGCACCCCTGAAAAAGGCCTGTCTGCCACACTAGTTTGGCATCAAATTTAACACATTAATTTGAAATAAATTTAGAAATAATGTTTAAACTGAAAATGAATTCAATGATCTGTTATGGGCACATTTTAGGTTAAGTGAGTTCAGTGTTGTGTATTTGGAAAAATGTCCAAAAAATTAGAAAATGAAACAATGTATTGTTTTTAATGCTTAAAGCTTAAGATATTTCTATTCAGTGCTTTACTAATGTGCCACAATAATGTAATGTTTTCGAGTTAAAATATCTTTATTTAGGGGCCTTTCCAAGCAAATATTGATAGAGGTGATTGTTTGTGATTAAATCAGCGTATATTTTTGCCACCCCGTGAATATTTCTCCAGATCCACAACAGAATAAGACTGGAGAGAATAAGACTGTATTTGAACTGTGACCAAAACAAAATCTCACCAAAAGGTCCATTTAGTATCTGTTCTGGAGTATCATCAGATGGATTTTGTCCAGTTGGAATGGAAACATAAATTCCTATTTGTCTGAGGACGCACAACTGGGCTGCTCAAGGAGGTTGTGTGATATGATTTAAAAGCTCCAGATCAGCTACAAAATGGACTTTGTGCTAAGGTAGTTCATCAACTGTTGCTATCCACAAAGTCACAAATTAACTTTCAAGCTCAACTATTTTTAAAATGATGAAAAGAGAGTTTCTAAGAGCCAGTTCTCGTCACAGTATACAACATAGGCATGTTAATAATAACGAAGAAGATAATAACCCTACTGTATGATATTCACAACTACACTTAAGATTACAGCTTGGTTACACTAGCTCATTTGACAAGGTGAGATCATCTTCTCTTCGAGTGCTGAAATATACATAAAGAGTCAAAGAGTCATTTTTCTTTGCTTACCTGTTTTAAGTAAAGGCTTTCTCATTCACTGAACTCTCCTCTGTTTTGATAAGCAAAGCCAATGGGCCACGCTAGTAACCTGATGGCCCCATTATCTGCTTTTTGCTCAGGGAAAAAAAATTAAAAAAAGATTCCTTTTCAAACAAGTGCCAAAAAGATGTGATCCAGAACGGCAGTCTAGTGGTCAGTCAAGGTGTCTTTTTTTCTTTTCTAACCTTAACTCTCCTGACTTGTGAGGCTGCTGTAGTCCTTGGAGATGTGCGTGAATAATGATGAAAAGCTCCACAGAGTAGATGTTTACTAAGAGGACATGTACAGTCAGGTGTACACAAGGGATACACCCATCCCTTACACCCAGCACACAAGGGATACACCCATTGACAGCAAACAGGAATTACATGTTGTCTTCTCACCAATGATGAATGAAAGTGAAATCAGCCACAAACGGAGGGTAGACAATAATCTGTGAGAAAGCTATCAAGATAAAGAAGCATTTAAAACAGGCCATTCAAGCTGCTGTTCCACAACAAGTGAGTCCCTCTGGAGACTTTACATTTAGCAGACAAATAGTTGTCACTCTATCTGTCAAACAATAAACAGACCACTGTTCGAACCTTGTGCAGAACAGGTCTAGCAGCTTATTATCACCCGTCTTTCAAACACAAATTAACTGCTAAGCTGCAAGGTGAACAGAAGTGATGTCATTTCTCAACCTTGTCACCCCAGAATTCGCAGTCATCAGGTAAAACAGGACGTGTGAGGAGCTTGACGCGCCTGCAGTGTGTCTGGCATTCTGAAACGTCTCTGTGTTGCAACTCTTCTGGCAACATAGAAACTCACTGTTGAGTTGGTTTCATGAATGAGAAGCAGCCCAAAATCATCCCATATTTCCCATGCTGAATTAAAGATTTATTTCATCCAAAGTAGAGCGGGTGATTGTTGGAACAATAGGAAGACAAACCAACGTTTTGTTGAGTTTTATTTTGTTTCTGTCAAGTTTGAATGAAGTGTTAACGGCGGGGTGGCTCCATTTATTAGAAAAAAAATAAAAAATACCAAAGATACCCATTATTCTTTTACACTACTATTACCAATATCAAGAATGAACTCCCTAAAACTGAACTTGCTAACATTTGGCTAGTAGTTAGGTTAATGTGAGACAAAGATGTTTAGTATTTTATCTTAACTACCAGTTGGATAAATTATTCATTGTGATTATATTGTCAATATTGTGATTATTGTTTTTGGAATGTGTAGGCACTGTAATAACTGTAATGTGTGTGTGTGTGTAAAAAATGCCCAGAAATTCTTGTCATGTCATAAATATGTGACTGGCGTGAAATATGTCAGATGGCGAGGGAGGAAGTTTGGATAGACCAGTTAGAGATACAGAGTGGTGAAGATGAAGATGTCTTCAGTCCTCGACTACTCATCAAATTTGTCAACAGCCGGAGCTTTTAAAATGTAACAAACACAAAAATTAAAATTAAAATAAAATAAAATTGTAATGTTGCCTCCTACATCTATACAATATACATTTAAATAGACTATTACAATGTAGAGTACACAGTTTAGATCAATAGGACTTTTTAACGTCAGATATTGGATAAGGACATTTCCTTATGCAATGTCTGACGTTAAATACAGTGGTATTGCTTAAACCACTAATTATAGCTGTTGAAGTTGAAGTGTAGTATGATAGTAAGCTCGCATACACAGTAGCAGGGCCAAAAAAGGGAGAGTGGCAAAACTAAATGGCATACAGCCATATTATTAAGGTAATTACACCTGTGGTTTTCCTGGTATATTGTGTCAAAACGTCTGCGGTGAAAAAGACTTTGCATAAAGTTCTCTACAATGAGCCATTATTTAACAGTTTGTAAAATCTTAAAATAGAAGTGAATTCTCTCTCTCTAAAAACATTTTGGATTAGTGTGTAGTAGTTCCAGTAACTGACACATATTCAGTTCATGGCACAACAGATAGACATGGAAAATGCTGCCATCTAGTGCTCCTATCTTTGTAACTCCATTCTTACTGTACATTTGGTGCACCTCTGACTTTGGGCTTCTTTAAATATAAATAAAAAGGTAATGACAGATTCTAAACATGTATAAATGAGTAACAACAAGCAGCAGTTGTTGTTTTTTGTTGTTACAAAGATGACAGGACTGTTTCAAAATGGTAGGAATAAAGTTTTATTTTCCATATGAAGGGGTGGTTTTGGATTTTTCTTCTTTTACAAGTAGTATGTTTTTGATAAAACTTGCAAAAAATCTTCTAGCATATTCCAAGAATGATGGACATGAAGAGAAGGGGATTTATTGCTGAATGTTAAAATGAAGACACATTTTTATTTTTTCACCAAGTGGAAAAACGATTTGCTTGCTGCTTTTTCCATGCACCCAACTACCAGTACCACTAGGACATGCAGAGGGGTTGGGGGTGAGAGGAGGGAGAGGGGGAGAAGGAAGGAGGAAGGAAGGAGGACGGAGAGGTGGGGAGGGGGAGGAGAGGAGAGAGGGTGGGAGGGGGGAGGAGGAGGAGAGTGAGGTGAGTCAGGTAGGTAAAAAAACGAAGGAAACTGCTTGACAAACACAAACATGGAAGGGCTTTGTGTTTGTGTGTGTGTGTTTGTATTTGTGTTGTATAATATGAAGGTGTGTGTGTGTGTGTGTGTGCGCGCTTCGTTATGGTGAGAGTTTATGATGTGTGAAATGTATGTGTGTATGTAAAGGGAAAAAGGGGGGAGTGCAGGGTGAGGAGAAAGAGCTGGGGGGGGGGGAGGGGGGGTGTTAACAATTCAACTAGCTCTAGAAGCACACTACCCTCACTTGCAGTATTTCCACATTGCAAATCCCAGATTGATTACAGTGATTGATAATAAGACAAAACTAGCCAGACCTTTTGGGCCATGAACCCAAATAATGTTTTTATAAATTTCTAGCATGATTCCCCTGAATCTGAGGGGTTCGTCGCCATTTTTAAGATACTTTCTATATCTGTGATCCATGCATCTCCTGTGTGAAAAAAAGAACAAAAAAAAACTCTACTTATTGGAAATTAACTCTAATACGGACACATATTGTATCTGACACAGTATCATTTTCCTCAGTGAGCTTGAAAGGGTCTCTAAACCCGATGTGTATCTGACGTGGAAGAGTTTCTGACATGATCAGCCCACTGTTAGTGTGCTGTTCAATACTCATCTGGAGATGGGGCCTAAATTCATCTGCTAGTTGCTTCTGAAGGTCGGTAAGGGGGTGAGAAAGACATGAAGGTGAGGGGGCGATGTCGGGTGGAAGGGGGGCAGACAGGGACAGACACATAACAGATCATTCAGTCAATATGACCAAGCAAAAGAAGTTCAATCAATAAAGGTATAGGAATGCAAATCAAGGATGCAGTAATCAGTATTATCATAAACCACCGTTTGGCTGTGAGCTAAAGAAAAAAGTAGAATCAGACTCAGAAACTCAATCTCTAGCAGTGTGAACCTGCACGCAATGACCCGGAAGAGAATTTTCCCATCAGAGCAGTGCCATCACTACAGGGGTGAAAGGTGGCGGCGATTCCAGGGGCCCACAGCTGGATAGGGCCCGTAAAGTTTCCAGAAGGATTATATTAATAAAAAAACAAAACAGAAAAGGGGGTGGGGGACCCAGAGCAATATCCTCCTCTCAGGGGGCCCAGGATTCCTAACTACGCCCCTGCAACAAAGTGAACAGATGTGGTCTCCGCACGACATCATTTTTTCATCATCATCATCATCGTGACCCACACACAGCGACACACAAGCCCACTTACGCACATACACACAACCTTTTTTTAAAGTTCAAAAAAAAAAAAAACAGCAACTGAATCTCCCTTCTGATTCCAAGAGTTTTTACCCAAGCTCCCTTAATCGTGGCCACGAGTGAACCCAACAAACCTGATGGACGGACAGGAAGGAGAGTGAGGGGATGTGGATCTGGCCTGCGGACTGAACTGTGACTGAGATGACGTGCGCTCTCTGCTTTGAGTCTTTTTGGCTGTGATGTGATGGGGAAGTCCTGAGACACAGTGCGGCTCTAAGCTGCTGGCATAGGAAACGGGCGGGCTGGGCAGTCCACGGGAGGCCAGAGTCAGGCTGGATTACAACTGGATTGGTTAGGTTCGGTTTGGATCGGCAGCTCCCTGGCCAATGACTGCTCATGGAGGGAGGTTCTTACAGTGCAATGGAGCTTCTGGCAGCGTGAGGATTGGTGGGAGGAGCATGTCAGTCAAACAAGAGACCACACCCTCCAAGGTGACTGGAGGTGATAACCAAATGAGGATTTCATGAGGTGTACATACAGGCATGCACACACACACGCACGCACGCTCACACACACACACACTGCAACCACCACCAATGTCATGGCAGCACCCTGAACACCTACACAGGAATCTGGAGTCACGTTCCCTCAACAACTCCCTAACACGCTTGTTTTCACAGAAATGACAACAAATGACTGAGAGGCAGCGAACAAGGACGTAAATGACTGATGTGATTCATCCAAAAATCATCCGAGAAAAACTACCCTACACTTCCGGTTGCTTCAGTGACTAAAGTCCCTGTGAAACGAGCGCATCGCATGGATCATACTCATGTAAACAGACACCTTTTACACAGGAGGAATCAATATTGCATGATGACATAATCAGATCACAGTTCAAAAAGAGGAAGATCCCAAATCAGAGAAAAAACCAAAGCAAAAGGAAGGAAGAGGGTTGGTCTCTATAAAAACGAGGAGTCTTTATAAGAAAGGCTACAAAAACTCAATGGGACCTCCGACTTCAGCATACAGCAAAAGGCACCACAATATTATTCTATTTATCTAACTTGTGAAAAAATTGGCACGTAATTCTCTTATTTTTTCATCTCTCATAATGCTGTAAATCAAAAAACTTTACATATAAATATTTCCCCCCCGTTATAAAAAAAGTCTTTGCTGTTAGCTAGTAGACAATTTTTGCTGAAATGAAAATAAATATTTCATTTGTTTAGAATATCTGTC